AATCCACAGTCCATGCTTACAACATCTAAGAAATACTGCCTTTAATTACATATAGAGAATGACTTTTTAACCCTCTGGAGAAAACAAGAACTATCCTTCATTAAGGGAATGGTTAAAAGAAAAAGCCATAATATGAAATCATAAAATAACACATACGACTATTTAAAAAGTATAACAAAAAAAGCCCTCCAGAATACATTTTATAGCAGACAGGTTTCAAACCAGTCCTTTTTTTCCCAATGTGCATATGAACATGTATACATCTTTACCTATGAAAAAAACTGAACAGGAAGTTCAACAACTTGTTAAAAATGATCATATATATGGAATGCAGAAGGGTACTGGGATACAAGGAACTTCTATTGTAGTCAATATTTATGTATGTTATTTGAATGTTTTACAACCAGAATACTAGGGTGTACTTGAAAACAAGGCATTTTTAATGCAAGGAAATAAGCATGAACTTCCTACATTTGACTGAAAAAAAAAAAAGAAAAAAGAAAAAAGTAAATGGAGTCCTCTACTATACAAAGTTTAAAAGCCCTGCCCTACAGTGACACCAAATGGTGGCAGATCAAAATACAGTATACAAACAGGACATTTGTTCAAATCAACCTCCCTATAAATGTTTTAATTCCTTTGAAGAACAGGCAGTTAACAATTTAAGAATATAGATACAAATACTCAAACCCAGAATTTTTTTTTAACAGCGAAAGTCTAGTATGTCAAGTTTCAGAAGCAAAATTTGAGACCTTTTCCCAAGTCAGTTAATCTTCTGATCCTATTGAATATTTAAAATATCTGCTACTGTGAAAACAGATAATTTTACTTGGGACTTATTGACAAAAGAAATGTTACAAATAACAAAAAATGTAGTCTTGCAAAATCAGATTGTACTCAATGGGAACCAACCTTCGGGAAGTAGGTAATATTTGGGGGGAGATAAATGAGGAAGTGTTGGAGTTGAGGGCGGGAAGGAATCTGAGAAGAGACAGGCAACTGATCTAATGAGTGAGAGTTCCTAGGAAGCATAGCTTCATTTCCTAATCTTATTGGATAGAAAATTAGGTTGGGTAAAGCATGAAGCCAGGGGATTCCACATGTATGCCAATTTCTTAAAAAAAGAAGTTTTGTCCTAGATGGTGGAGGAGACATAATATTTCAAATTAAGCACATCAGTCAGTACTTGGTACCCTCTGCCTAGAACCGACGGCAGCAATAAAACCAGCATGTAAACTGTCATTAATTTCAAGTCACATAAGAAGATACAGAACACTCCTATTTCCCTGAGCACTCTTCCAAAATACAGCTTAACCAGAACCCATAGTCCCTCAGCATTAAAAGATAGTTTGCTCACATTTTTTGATGGCTTATTATTCTTATGTCAATATCTACCAGAAAACATAAAGGACACAAATATACTACTATCAGATACAAAAACAAGTCAATAATACCATTAATTAAACTACTAGGCTCTGAATTCATAGCACAGGTTTCCAGTCTAACAGGTACCAGCCCACCTACCAGCACCATCACTATGTCACCAAAGCTACTAGACTGTGAGCCATGGACAGGACAGCTCTTGAGAATCATCCTGCTCAATTCAGCCAAATTACAAGCCATACGACTGCAAAGAGAATTAGTTTAGGATGGTGCATTAAGAAATAACAGATGAATGACTGAACTCTTAATACCATAAAAGTGTCTGGGTCTAGTACTTGCACATTTAAAACTGATGTTTTTAGAATTAGAGGTAATATCAGTATTTTAAAAATTTGCTTCAAATTTCAAGCGAGAAATGAAGAGGGGATATGAAACTCACTATTGCTAGAGACATTGTAGATGTATGGAATGGTTTAATGGTTGAAGGAAAACTTCAAACACATCATTTAATTGCTACTGACATATTACAGACATATTTGTATCTGAACTGTAAATCTGTATACCGCACACAGCAGGTCATAAAGAACTGGATAGTTTTTTTGGCATCAATACGAAAGTAAAACATATTTTGAATTATGTATTATGTCATATTCTAACCAACCTTTAATTGACATCACTTGTCAATTTGGATTGACATTCTGGAAGTGTCATTTTAGCATAAGACCTTCCTACCAGGAGAAAGGAATGTAAATATATGCCAATACCCTGGTAGAGCTGCTTTTTGTTTATTGTTTATATAATTCTTGTATGGAATTTAAATTGATTACATAATATAAACCATGGCAGTGACTTTCCGTTGAACCAAATTTGGGTGTTTGTTTAACTTACCTTTCTGAGATATCTATAATTCACATCACTAAAATTAGGTCATATAGTTGGATAAAGGAAAAATTTAAACTGGTAAGTCACATAACTTCAGAGTTTAAACTAAACAATATTAGAAATCATGTTAGTCTACAGAAAGTGAAGATGAAAATGAACTGGTAAATTTATGGTGAAAAACAAATGAAAAGGCAAGTTTTGGCCCCCTTGGGGATGCAAAGGTGAGCCCAATCTTCACTATTCCATTTGTGACTATGATGGCTTTTTAGGTAGAAATTACCAGTATTTTAAACCTAGGTTTAATCAATAAGTAAATGTCTTTCTCCAATATAAAATGCCTTATAGGAGTCAGGAGTTTAATTTACCTTATGTTAATTACCCAACTTTGGTATAAATATAATTCCAACTTTTTAATGAAGCTTAGTATTATGGGAGTCTTACAGAAATACACACGGTGATTATGATCAATTTCCTAAAACCACCCAATAAGTGAATTTAAAACATATCACTGTTTAATAAGTAAATTTAAAATTAAGCTTTCAACCCAGAAAGGAACAGAAAACATCACGCATTTCATACTGTTGTACATTTTTGTTGATTTTTTTGAGAATTCTTAAGTATTGCTTGGAACTTTAAGCAGGTTGTCCCCCTTTTGAGGGGGCAGAAACTCTAACAATGGGGGAGGCAGATTGAAAATTGTCAAACGTTGAAACTGAACATAGTGATATGGAAGAACAATACTGTAGGAAAAAATACACATACAGAGTTTTCAACATTTCCTCAATTTTCTACTTCTTCACCTAAATAACTATATTTTAAAGTCTTAGTACCACACAAACTAGTACTTAAACAAACTGTGCAAGAGTATCCACAATCAACAGATCATAAAGCACTGTTCAGATTGCCCATAGAAGATGTTTTTCACCAACATTACTCTTCCTCATTAAATTCCATCTGCAGTTAGTAATGACCTGGCATGAATGTGTGCATTCAAAGTCAAGTTTGAACTGACATCTCCTGAAAAGGAAATGGTCTGTCTCTGTCTTAAAACTGTAACCTCTCACACTAGTATTTAGGAATCTAATATACTTTAACTTTTGGATGCTTATGAGTAACTGCGTGCAAATTGATGTGAAATATAGATTTTTCAAAAAAGGGCATGACTTGTCTATTTTAAATACATTGAAAATATCTGAAAGTTTGAACTCATTTTTCTGTGACAACCACTAAGACTTGGGAATTGCTTTAAATTGCTTCTGTGATGTTATGCAACATAAAAAAGTCACTAACATTTCATATAAACTTGAAAGTATTTCAGATTTATACATTATAATTGTACATTTTATAATGTACATATTTAATGTACAATTATAAAATTATAATTTTACATCCTTATTTTCATTCAGGAATCAAAAAAAGATGAGAAAAAAATCAAAATTCTAAGTAGTCTGTGATTTTTTTTTTTTGAGAATACTTCAGTAGTATTTAGAATTTTAAGCAGGTTCTCCCCCTTTTGAGGGGGAGAAAAGTCTATGAATGGGGGAGGTGGTGGTTGAAAATTAAATGAAAATTCTCCCCTATCCTTATTATTCTCATATAAAGACAATGCAGATAAAGCATCAAATAGTTATCAAGTGATCAGGTAGAACCATATAAAGCAAACAAGAACAGAACGAAATAAAAATAAGAGGAGAAAAGATTTGAAAGAATTGGATAAAAGCATAAAAATAATTTTTGTTTTATAAAAGTCAATGAGTCAAAAAGTTTTATAATGCAAATTTTCAAATCAAATAGAGAGTCCTTTGTTTCTTCTGTGGTCTATTCAAAGAAGTTTTTCCTTTTTTTTTTCCTTTTTTTGGTGGAGTGGTGGGGAAAAGTGGGCTAATGCAGAGTCAGGAAGTTTAAGAGTAAATGCTAACAAAATGCAAAATATGGTGTACAGATACACTCCTTTAGTAAGTATATCCAGTTTTTCAAAATGATAGCAAATACAATCCCAGTATGGCCATATTCATGATACTATAAAAGGAAAAATAAATAAAAGGAAATAAAAGGAAAAATATAGTATATAAAAATATGAAACACTACTTTAAACTATTTCATGATGACTGAGTACAACCAACCTCCAAAATAATTTCATGGTAAGAGAAAAGAGTAGGAAATAAAAACTTGATGAAAAGCTTAATTTTAAGTTGCCACACAGCTAATATATAACACTGGCAAGTATTTTCACCTCTTCAGAGCCCAGTTTCTATAAAATAGGAGTTGGAACAGATGATTTTTTAAAAACATTGATTTTTTTTTAGTCCTCATTACTAAGAAAGACTTTATTTCTAATTTCAGAGTTGAAAATATGAAATGAACTGAATTGATGTTTGTAACCAGAAACTAAAGCTGATCTTGCAATATGTGGGAATACAATTCTCAAGAATAAGTCAATCTGTCTAGTCTTAAGGACTAGCTTTCATTTACATTTTGACATTCAATTGAGAACATTAAAAAAAATAAGTTTATACTTTGTAAAGTCCTTTGGGCTTCACTGACAGACTTTCACTATATACTTCAAAACAAGATAATGTTTCATGAATATCCTTTGTTTAAAAATAAAGGCATGATGAATATTAAATGTTTGTGAATAATAATGATGTAAAAAGGCTGGACATTGACTTTCCCCTGTTTTACAAAATATAAAAAATTCCTCAAAAGAAAGATTAACACTGAAAAACAGTACTTACCACAACAGCAAACTGCTCGGGTTCACATAAGTTGTTATAATCATTCTTGAACTGAGACAATGAATTTAATTGGTCTTGAACAGGAAGATGCTTTATTAAGTTCTAAAAATTAAAACCAAAAATAAAAAATCTTCACTAAATGTGCTTCTTAAATTCTAAGAAAGTTAATTTTTAATAAAATTACAGAAAGGAAAGCAATGAAGAAGTTAATCTTTAGTTTTATTTCTAGGTAACCTCCCTTATACTAAGCCTTCTCCAGCTACATTTCCTGTTTCTTAAAAGCAGTCAATTTTCCTTTCCTCTATCCCAGTGTCATTATATATTCAAATCAAGCACTACTGAATGTTTATTTGATTAGCTATATAATTGAGAAAGAAGAACTCAACCTATACCAAAGGAACAGCTTTCTCACCTGGATAAATGTGATCAATTACATTTCAGCTTTAGGGAATTAAATGTCAGAAATTTCAAGCAAAGCCAAACATATTTTAACACTTCACTCAGGGAGATAAAAGAAATCACATCGCTACTAAAAGGTAAGGGAAAGAATAGAAAGGAAATCAGGGGAATTTATGACAGTGCTTGCAAGATTTAACCAATATGATTACAGTTTTAATAATAAAAATGAAGCTATTTCTGAAACAAAGACAAAGTAACTTTTCTGATGTGAAAGAAAATCTGAAAAGGCACTGAAGACACAGGATGATAGGGCCTCCCCGGTGGCGCAGCGGTTGAGCGCTGGGTTGCGAAGCTGCCCGCAGCCTCTGGGGCGCTGGTTCGATCCCCGGCTGCTCCCCGGCCACCGGAGGAGGGTCCCACATGGCGCGCAGACCTCTCCTGCCGCCCGCTGCTCCCCTCAGCAGTGTACTTCGGTCCTTCTGCCTGCTCTGCTCCCCGCTCTGGCTCTGGTGAATTCTCTCACCCTCCTGCACTTCTGACTGTACCCAGTGCATGTATAAACAAAACAAACAAATAAAACATGCCTCTATAAAAAAAAAAAAAAAGACACAGGATGATAAACTTTGCAGAAAAGCATACAAAGAGAATCTTTAGGAATTATGGTGCTCATGGCTATAACTGGCCTTTACCTAAATGGTCTGTAGTCCAAAACCACAGACTCATTTGATTGTTTTAGTTCCTTTGTGTAAGAATAAACTTTCCCAAGTCACACAACAGACAAAAGAAACACTCCCAATGGAGATGACCAAGGGAATCCATCTAGTTATGCCTTCCTGTTAGAACATAAATGATTAAGCATTCCTCTGTACAAAATCTACATAAATCCTCTGTTTCAAAATATAATTGTCTATAATAGCATTATGTTAGTTAAAATTAAGAAAAAAGTGATTGGTGTTCATAATTCCCAATTAATATTAAGAAAAAAGTGATTGGTGCTCATAATTCCCAATTATAACATCCATGTATTCTGTAAAAGCCCAAAGTCAAGTAGAAATTATAATTAGGCCTATATCATGCTATATATATTTATGGTGACAAAAATTCCCCAAAGGTGTTATTAGTTAAAACTGCTGGAAAATAATATAAATCAAAGTAGTTACAGCAAATAGCAAGTTTTTGACTCACTGTATACCTTTCACAAAAACTTGGTTGGCCAAAAACAAACAAAAAGTAGCAATTTACGATCATCTCTAGGAAAAAAATCACTACTAATACTATCAAACTGAAAAAAAAAAAACAAACCTATAAAAGCCTATGATTTTCTCCCATAAATAGAAGTTACTCTTATAATTGCCTTAGACCAAAGACATGCTTATTTGTATGCATGTTTTAAAAATCTGTGACAGCTGGATTGTTTGAGTTTCATCAAGTTTCCAAAACTGTTCAGCACTCTTTCAGATGATCAAATTACCTTGGATATTTTTAGTTAACATGAATTAAATTTTAATCTTTCATTTGAAATTTATTAATTTTTTCAAAATTATTTTTGCTTCCTAAAGTAATTACTATGATTTGTAAGAGTATACAGCTCCAAATTTCCTCTCTCCCTGTACTGTATTTCCCATCCCTTCATATAAGCTAACCTCATAAACTCCTCACAGTTGCCCCCACCCACACAGCTTTTCTCTTGCAACTCAGGGAATTATTACTGCCAGAATAATTGCCCTTCACTGCATTGCTCACACTATGCTCTGCCCTTTTCTGCCTGCACATCTTATCCCCCACTTTCAAGTACCTTTACTTCTGTACATATACACACCTAGTGCACCCCTAACACAATAACTGGTTCTAAAGCAAACATAATGAAACCATTTGTATTTTGTATTAAAATTATATTTGTAAACATCATCTCTCTTGTCAAAATATAAATTCAAAGAAGGTAGTCTACTTCTGATTGAGCCTAACACTTGTGCTGCATATGATGGGCACCACAAAATATTTGCTAAATGAATGAATGAAAGACTGATGAAACAAAGGTAAATGGATAAAGAATGAGACAGAAAAATGATGTTAAAAACAACACACTACTGACATCTTGTTTTATATGAATAAACAACTAGATCTACCGAAATAAAATGATGACAGAGAATAAAGCCTACCAAAATGATGATTATCACAAAGTAATACATTTTCCATGTTCTATTTAAGCAGGCAGTTCTTCACTTTGAAACTAGGAATATATTTGTAAGCATAAAAATAAGACTTCAAATAGAATGACTTAACTTTCTGATGAATATGAGGCAGACTTTGTATTTAGTGAATAAGTGTGGTAGGCAGAATAGGGCCTATACCCCAAAGGGTCCAGAAACTGTAAAAGTTTTAGATTGTGACAAAGGAATTAGGTTCCAGATGGAATTAAGGTTGTCATCAGTGGATCTCAAAGTAAGGAGCTTATCTTGGATTATTAGGGTATTCTAAATATCACAAGGGCCCAAAGTAGAAGGAGACAGAACAATAGAGAGCTGTGACTATGAAAGAAAGGAACAGAGAAATGCAATATTGCTGTTTTGGACCTGAAGGAAGGTACCCATTAGCCAATAAATGTGGGCAGCCATGAGAAGCTAGGAAAGACAAAGAGAGATATTTTTCTCAAAAGCCTAAGGAAAAAAAAAAAAAAAAAGCCAATTCTAGCAACATTTTCACTTTAGCACAGGAAGGTTCATGTCAGGCAGAAATGTAAGATAACTTTGTGTTATTTTAATACGCTAAATTTGTAGTAAGTTGTTACAGTGCAATAGAAATCTGTGTTATTTTAATCTAATAAATTTGTAGTAAGATGTTACAGTAGCAATGGAAACTGGATATATTTATTTATGGAACTGAATGTTCTTTGAACATAAGGTAAAACGTACAAATATTTTTTTCCCATCTCTATCCAACAAGCCACATGATCATCCAAAACATACATGCAATCAAGAATGCATTATAAAAATAACAATAATATATTAAATAAGACAAATTTCTTTAAGGAACTTGGAATCTAATCGTAACAGCAAAGGCACATACACAGACAGTAATAATAAAGACAAAAAGCTAGCAAAAAGAAAGCACTAGAGAAAAAGTTACTTAGAAGTTGCTAAATTAGTTAATGAGATTCACAGGTACACCACACAAATCAGTAAAGAGGTTACATTACCACTTGCATTGAGAAGAAAAGCTAGCAGGCATTAACAAATGTTGGCAAAGATGTGGAGAAAAAAGAACTCTCCTACACTGCTGGTGGGAATGAAAACCGGTCCAACCACCATGGAAAGCAATGTGGAGCTTCCTCAAACTACAAAAAATGGAGCTACCATATGACCCAGCAATTCTACTGATAGGAATCTACCCAAAGACATAAAAACATGAATTTAAAAGGATACTTGCACCCCTATGTTTACTGCAGTACTATTTACTATAGGTAAGATACGTAAACAACACAAATGCCCAAAAATAGATGACTAGATCAAGAAGATGTGTTATATACACACAATGGAATACCATTCCCCAATCAAAAAAGATAAACTATGCCATTTGCAGCAACATGGACAGAGCTTGAAGGGATCATGCTCAGTGAAATAAACCAGAAGGAAAAAGAAAAATATCGAATGGTTTCATTTATAGGAAGAATATAGGGGAGCCAAATAAGGCATCAGGAAAAAAAAAAAACAATAATAATAAAACTAGAAGGCAACCATAAATAAAAGATATTCTGCAAGGGAGGGGAAGAAAAAGTATCAAAACAGAGGAGAGAAGAGCACAAGGACTATGGCAGTGGTTCCCAGGTGAACTACTAGTGGGAATTTTATGGGCAATACACATTTATGTAAAAGATATAAATAAAAAAAAATTTAAAAAGAGGAGAAAAGATAGGAGAGGCAAAACCAAGAACAACTTCTAAGGTTACCACTTAGTGATGGATTAAAATATCTAGACTGCTTTTATTCAATTGTTGACACAAGTAATTTATGGCTTATTTTTGTTAAAAAAAAATCATTTTCCTAAATACATCAGTTTTGAAAATTAAATATAGTAAATATAGTAAACTGAGAAAATCACTGTCTCACTAATTATGATTTCATACTCCAACTAATTATGATTTCATACTCCATTCTATCAAGATATGCATTAATGATGACTCATGTGGGATTAGCAAGTAACTTTGCTAACATATACACATTCATTAAAAATTACTGCAGGTAGAAACCATTTAAAAAATCACCCAGCCTTCTGAATGAATGCAGAAAACTGTGCAAACTCTAGTATTCATAGGAGCAATATGACTCAATAAGAGAGTTAATAAAGGTAACCCTAATGAATAAAACACTCCCAAAATCTATTGTGCCAAGTAATATTGCAAATTTTGACACTTAAGTCTAAAAGGGGAAAAAAAAAAACATTCTAAAAGAAGCATACAAAAAATTTGCAGGACTGAACTGTAACAAAAAAAAAACAAACCCAAATACATGAAAATTAAACAATTTGCCTTTAAGAAACAGTCATTTAAAATAATTGAAATGTAATCATTTTGATAGCATTATACTTAGTTTGCAGTTAAGAGAAGATGCAGAGTTTTATCTCCAGGCAATGCAGAAATCATGCTAAAGCTAATTATGCAGCAATGATTTTCCAGTTGGATGATTTGGTTTAAGAATTTTGCTTCACTTACAGATTTCTATTTAATGAGAAGCTTGCAATGAAATATTGGAATGGAAGCTCTCTGCCAGTTTGTTTACCTGAATCATAGACTCTGCCAAATGTGTTTCATCCACTTCCAATATCATCCTTTTGATTTCCTCATATGGCACCCGAAAAGAGCTCAGGAAGATTGCTAAGAGGGAAAATAAAAAGTTCATAATGAATAAGACTTTGAAACACAGTTCTATCTATAAAATTAATTTTAAAATGAGAGATTTTAAACATTTAATAAAATATTGTGGGAGAAATTTCATTAGCAACTTTTATACTTGTCTCCAGATTTAGAACTTGCAAGTTTAAATAACATTCCTACATTATTACACTGGTTCTGAGGTTGATTTTTAGTGCTAAGTTATTAGCCTAACATAGGAATGGTAAAATTTTTCAGGTGATCAAAAAACTGATATCTGCAAATACATTAGAAAAATATCACACTGTAATGACAAAAAATGTGAAAAAAATGAAAAGACTCTCAAGCCCCAACATGTGCAAATATTTGTTCAAAATGTGTTATTATTTTGTATTGTATCTCCCATTCCTTCCTAATTCAGGAAAAAATATTTTAAAACTGCTAAGCAATGCAGTAACACTTTTGCAAGTTATAATAACATATCATTGTTCAAAAATATTATAGACAATATGCCAGAAAAATTCCCTTTGCACGTAACTGAACCTTAAATATCCAATATTAGAAAACAAATTTTCATGGAAAACTGTTTAAATGGATTAGATGGAATAATGTTATTACTAAAAATTCCAATAATATTTATGTTTTTCTTAATATCTCATATATTTATTGTTAAAACATAATGATCTTCTGAAAAGCTAGTGAGGTATATAAGGATATTTCATAGCATTAGATTTTGTTCATTTGCTCTTCCTTCCTTTTTCTATGGTTTCTTCTCACCAGTGATAGATGTCACTCACGTATTGAACATACTCAAAATTTGTCACCAATACAAAATTATTCTATATACTGAATTTATGCCATTTATATATATATATATATATACACACACACACACACACACACACACACACACATATTTTCATGTAGAGACATTTTTTTCTAGATTTTCACAGGACTCAAAAAACAAGATAGGCTTCTTTCTTGGATTGAGGCTATATTTCAGATTCCTGAGGACATAATGTATCATTTACAAATGAATAACAAGGGCACCATCTGTGTTCTTAAAACAAGCTTCATTCACACATTTCTAAACTCTAACAGTCATAAATGTGGAATAATAGTACTAGAAATTATGGATGTGTATAATTCTTAATATTCCAACAAATAAGGTAGAATGGATATAAATAATATCTGACAACAAAAAGAAAACACTAATGATAAAGCACTTAGAACAATTAAAGCAAGGAAGCTGAGAGACAAACCTTCCTCAAATGTCAGCACATTTTCCTTCTTTGATTATTGTACCATGAGATAAAAATAGGAAAATGGGCAAAATCTATTTAAACTCAATTAAAAGACTAAGAATATACAACAAATACATATGCAAACACGCACAAATATATGTTAAACCTCAGGAGTAAGCCAATTGAGAAGAACTACTGATACACACACCTCTACACATGTATACACACTTCAAATTTACTAAGATTAACAGAATCCTTGAAATTACTGATTTTATTTTCTCCCAGGATTTCTGTTTTCCTTCCATTTCACAACACCTTTAATATGCAATAAAATAAGATTGAATATATATTTCACTCTGAGAACAATAAATTCCACTCCAGAAACCCAGTGTGTGGATACAACAGCAAAACATATAAAAGGTTGTAATGTTAAGTACAAAGGTTCAAAGGATAAGAATTTCTCTGGAAAGGAACCCAGTGATTGAGAAAGAAGTGGTAGTTGTATACTTCGGACATTTTGACAATGTAGAGAGACGACCCTGAAATGTCTAAAGAAAGATACACTTAACCTTAATCTTAATGTATTTCTGAGGTATCCTGAAAAGAAGGAAAGTAGAAATTCTGGGAGAAAATTAAATAATTATTTAAAGAATGAAAAGAAAAGATTAAGTCATTCAGCAGGGAAAAACAAGTGAAATTAACAGAAAGAAAAATGAAGTTTTAGGGGGAAAAAAGTAGAATTTTTAAGTCATTAACAATTTATAATAAATTACAAATTCAGCTTATGAATTAGATATCAGATAAAACTGAAAATAAAAGGAGAAAAAGAAACTATATAAACTACAACACAAAGACAAAGAGGTAAAAAAAAATACTAAGAGATACAATAGATGAGAAAGGATACGGTAAAAATTACCAGTTGAAGTCCCAAATGGAAATCAAAAAAGAGAGAAAGAAAGCAGCATATCTGAAGAGAAAATATCAGAATTTTCCAGAATTAGAGACACGAATCATTAGATCAAAGTGGTTCTATAAATTACAAACACAATAAAAATTCTAAAAATCACACTAGATCCTTGTAAAGCTAGACATTTAGTGAAGTCATAGAGTAGAAATGCTCAAGGACTGATACTGAAAGAGTAAAAAACATGGAGCAGGTATATTCATAGAGTAGGAGGTTACTCTACTTTTTTGCAAATTTTTTCTAGAAAAGGCCAAATAGTAAGTATTTTAGGTTCTTTTGTTTTCATGGTAACAAAATATAAGCATGGAAAAAAAACATTTTCAGTGAATTCTTTGAGTCCTTCCAACAACTTGTCAAACTTAGGAGTGATATAAGGGACCCCAAACTTGTAACTGTTGTCAGAAGGAAAGGAGGCCTTGCTGACACCCTAATTTTGCTGATTAAAAAAAGTACAATCTTATTTATACATGATGTAAATAATAACAAGAATACAAAAGATATAATGAATTAATATAGTAAATAATACATGAAGAAAAGATTACATGTTAACAGAAGAATTTACTTTGCAGATGAACATAATTTAGACCTTTATGCCTTTGACATTTAATTGATCCACTATTTTCAGAATTATTCCAAAATTAAAATAGCACACAAATTAAAAACATTTACAAAGAAAAAACTAAGGTGTCTTTACAGTTTATGAATAAATGGATTTTTGGAAAACATGCGTTATCTAAAAGTAAAAAAAGTACAGCAAAATGAAAATAGCCTAATAACACACAATTCGGAAGACACAGACCTTATTTAAATACTTTAAAGTTACTGAGAATTGCAGACTCAGTGAAAACCTCCAAAAGACCTATTAAAATGAATCTTTTTACTAACATGCATCTTATCCTTCAAATTGTGATTACATAGACCCCAGTAGGAAACCCTGAGTCCTGTGAAAAAGTGTGAAGTGTGCAGATTTTACAACCAGTCATACATGTTTTCTGTAAGGGAACTGATAAAAATATAAACTTTTATATTAATTTGTAGATTCCAAGTTCCTCCCTTTACAGCTCTGATATACACTCTGATACATACTCAAGAAATCTGGTGAAACATATGAATCTTGTAAAACTCCTTCTCTTGATACTAGAATGATCAGAATTCTGACTTTAATTTCTTATATTTTCATTATTTTTGTTGATATAATATTAGTATACAACACTGCATATGATTTTGGAGTATCTTCAAGTGTGCTTTAACATACCACCATCAAAGCACCCAGAATACTCCACCATAGTCCACTATGCTGAGTCCAGAGTCTTTACCAAAACCTTTATGAACTCAAAATATGAGAAGCCTAACCCACCCTTAAATTATGAAGTTACTAAATAAGTGAATTATACATCTTTTTTCCAAAATTCAATACATATTTTAATTAAATTATCTTAGATAATTTCATTATTACAAGATTCTTTTCAGCATTCACTATCTCAAAAGAGTCTGAATTTCATAGACAAAATCAAGCTGTGAATTGGACTGTAATTAGAGTAAAGAGTATGGATACAAAGACTTCTTAAAGCTTAAATCATAACACTCACTACACTCAGAGAGGGCAAGAATAATCCTAAAATGGATGACTTCGTATAATGACATGGTACAAATTTTGGAGCTTTAGATCTTATACTTTAAAACATGTTTGATAATTAAATGACATATAGTCATTTATACACACACACACACACACACACACCTCTAGCAAAAGCAAACAAGATTAGTGTCTTTCTCTATGATAATGTGATTTTGTTATCTCTCAGTAGGAATAGATATACCTTACACCTATTGGCTATTTTCAAAATGAACTTCACAAGTCATTTAACTGCTATAACCACCTAAAATGTCAATACAACTACCTATATGATAGGGTGGCAGCAAGAATTCAAGGGTCACATGCAGAAGTGGCACATAGAGGTAATCAATAATTCTTAACAATTGTAATAAAATTCGAAATCCTACTTATACCTTTTCTGTAACATAAATAAATAGTGCCCAAAAAATCTTGCCCCTAAAAGGCAACTATTCAACTTTGATACAGATATTTAGGTCAACTTATCATGGCTGACCCCTCTAAAGAAATTCTACTTAAAGTGATATTTCTTCAGGGTCCCTAACAAGGTTATTAAGAATCAAGACTATCAATTTGTAAAACAGGTCAAAATGGACATTTTTCAAGAACTTTTAACTGAGACAATGTTCTTTTAACTAAGACAATGTTCCTTTAGGGAGAAAAATTCCCTGAAACATGCACATCAAGTAACAATTTCCCCAAGTTTCAGTGGTGTAAGTACAAAAAGGAAATTCCAATTCACAAAACCTGCTCACCACATATCAGAAAGACGCTGCTCTGTTACTTCAGACCCTTGCATCAAGATGATGGACGCCATTCTGACTGTCACTCCAAGGTCAGGGGAAAGAGCACTAAAGGTTCTCACACCAGCAATTAAATGTTCCCACAAAAAAAGTGACCTTGCTGCCATTGGCTCAAATAAGCGGCAAGGCAACATCTCACCTCAAAGAAACAAATGTGCAATTAACTCATGCCTAGAAATAGAGTTATATTTTGGCCCATAGCATTGATGTCCACACACTATCCCTAAGGAAGTTGGCAAAGTCTTCCAGCACAGAAAAGAGAATCTTCCTACACAGTGAGCATGAAAAGAGGAGATGCCAAAGCTTTCATAAAAGAATGCTACTTTTCAAATGTATGGTGAAGAATAGAATTGGACTTTTAATGGTGAACTGAATGATGATTTTTAATGATGCACACCTGAAACTGATATAATGTTACAATGCAATGTTACTTCAATTTAAAAAAACGTCAACTTTGCACTGTGTGCACACTGCTTCCAAGATAACTTTGTTCTTCCTCTCATGGAAGAATTATTTTGTTCTAATACTTGCTGAAAGCTCACAGGAGGTACACAGTAATTGAGAGGCAGACTAAAAGACATGTTAACTCTTCATGCCTCTAGCACCAACACATTATATCCACATTAATTCCTACTTGCAACATCAAGAAGTAATATATAAGGATCATATTATCTCAGTTACCGAGCAGAACTGTCTTTGATTCATATAAGATGTAGTTAGAACTGACTTAGAAACAAAACTATTTGCCCTTTGCTATCATGGTAATTCAGTCAGAAGGACTATTCAATACTAAGTATTTAGCTCCCGTAACACCAATTAAATCTAAAATATTTCCAGACGGTACTTTTGAGGAATGCTTTGAACTATAGATGGAATAATGGAATTTATTTTACTCATCAACCTTATTTTCATTAATATACTGACCTCCTTTGTATGTATCGAGCATCAGAAATAAAAAAAAATTCAGAGCTATATAAAATATAATCCACTTCCAGTTTTTGCAAAATAGTTATCACCTAAGTTCCTTAATTCTTTATTTTTATAATTATAAGGGGGGATTTTAAGGGATAACTTTCTTTTCAGTTATGGGAAATACATTTTCATTCTAAATCCATTTTTTAGCCTTTATTTTTTAAATATGCATTAATCTTTTGAAAAACTTAAGTCAATACTTTGCCTAAGGGAAATGAGTTATCATTGAATTTATTATGCTAATAGCAAAATTAATATAACACAAAATGAAAAAGAAGTCATAAAGAAAATGAATTTAGAAGAACCACCTCCGATATGTTTTGCTAAGTTAATAAAATCGAAATCTGATACTTACAAAGGTTCTGGGCAATTTTAGAATCTAGAAATTTAAGTTCTTTAATTTTTTTCTTAAGAGCTTTCTTTTCTTCAAAATCTTCCTCTTCTCTTCTCTCTGTAAAACCAAGGATAGATTCATGTTAGGTGCAGTTAGGCCTTCAACTGCAAAAGAACAGGATGTAAACTGTTTATCGTCAAAGAATATAAAAATAATCTAAATATTTTAAATCACATAGTTACAAAAATAATAATAGACTAAATTGGTTCATATAAACACCAGTGACCCTAGAAAAATACTAAGAGTAAATATGTGAAGGTCTAATGGGAAAAACAAAAATGAAATTGACGTGTACTACAGAAACCAACACAATTAGTTGTAAGAATAAGTACAATTGGTTCATTTGAACAGTATATAGGACACAATTACAAGAATAAATACACTTAATTACATTTAGGGTAGGTTAAGAAATTAAATCTAAGAGTATTAAATTAAAAGAAACACAACTGTTTTAGGGGCCTCCCTGGTGGCTCAGGGGTTAAAGTCTCAATGAGATCAAGCTGTCATGAGCCTCTGCTGCATGAGTTCTATCCCCAATCCCTGACCAGGTAGCTGACCCACATGGCACAGCTGACCTTTCCTGTTTCACCTGCTGCTCCCCTCAGCAGTGTATTTCAGTAGATCTGCCTGTTTTGCTCCCCACTCTGTCTCTGGTGAATCCTTTCACTGGTCTACATCCCAATTCTTGTATGCATATAAATAAAATAAATCTTACAAAAAAAAAATCTGTTTTATGTTTGATATACCTCATAACTGGAAGAGTGTTTGCAATTTGCTTTCTAAATCTGTGAAAAAAGTCAAAGTGTGATAATGAACTTATTTTATCTGGATGTTTCAAAAATCAACAAATGAGTTGATCTTTATGTTTATAGTGAAAGAGAATAAACACATCATGCAAAACAATAACATATGACCTATAGTTACAACACAGTATATGATCAAGGTTAACAGCTATAACAAAGTGACCACCATCTTATCTTTCCTCTCCTGTGTCACTGGTTATCTTAAAAAATTAGCATATTGATAATGAAAATCAATTGAACAAGGTATTTTTAGTTAGAAACACAAATAAGAAATGTTGGGGAAAAAATAACTTTAAAAAGTACCTCTATATCTATAGATATATATGAGGCACTTGGCATATTAGAAAAGCATATTTTAATTCATGCTTTGGCATACAGAATGAGGTAGGAAATTAATTTTATAATTTTCAGAATATTAACTAGTTATTTGCATCATTTTATAAATAATCAACCATCTTTCTCAGCTGATCTTACATTATACTTTTTCTTATATTTGTTTTTCTGAATTTCTAATTGTGCCCCATTGTTCTATATATTATTCTTATGCTGTTAACATTCTGTTTAAGCACTGAAGATGTATCCTATTGTTTGGCTTTTCAAATTATTTTTCTTCCTTTCTAAGTTTCCTTCATTTACTCAGTCATTTATTTTCCCATAAACATAGAGAAATGTAAGAGTTCCAAAAATAAAATCTATTTGAATTGTAATGCATTTGCAAATGTATTCAAGGCAGTGTGATATGCTGACAACTTTCCAATCATAAATATATGACATGTGGCTATATAATAATTCAACTTAATACAGTATTCTTCATAAACAACCTATATAATTATTGTTAATGTTAGGTGTTATAAGGATACCTAAAGTATACTCACAAGTATTGATGGGGGGAAAGGGGGGGATTGGTTAACTGTACATTTCCCTACTATACTTTATAATTAAATGCTACTAGAGTACAGAAATTTTTATGAACTTTGCTTAGATGGTTTATAATCAGCCACTTATTTAATCTTTCATTCAAATAGGAAATCCTTATTAAGCACCAGCTAAAAGGAACAAGGCATCAGAGATACAGTGCTAATAGAGAGCTCCTGGTTTCATAGAATTTCAGTACCAATAGAGGTGATTACAAATTGAATTGCCATTCAATTATAGTACATAGATACAGTTGTGATGATTTGGCAGGAAACATGAGAGAATTAAAGAGGAGTGCTATATATCCTACTTGCCAGTCTTTATGGAATAAATGATAGCTAAGTCAAGGGTTGGAAGAGGAAAGGAATTTTCCAGGCGAGAAGGTTTCGGGTAGGAAGGAAGAAAACTAGAAAATAAAAGGATAAATATTTAGAGATCTAAAAGTACAAGAACCGAAAGGGGACAGAACATGAGAATTGTAATAGCAGTAAATGCTGACTAGGAATAAGTGACACAAGATGAATCAGGCACCAGATTGTTCAAGACATTTTGAATTAGGTTAAGATGTTTGGATGTTATTCTCAGAGCAATGAGGAGCCACTGAGTATTTAAGACAGAGACATTGGGAAGATTGAGAGACATTGGGAAGACTGCATTTCAGAAGGTCAGACTATTTATGGTGAACTGAAAGAATAGCAAAGGCAATGGTACAACAGTGAGACAGAAGGAAGGACAACCACTAGGATGGAAGAAAGGAGTGAATTTCAAAAGGAGAAGCCTGACTCCTGTATTCCAGACTTGAATATCCAGCTGCCTATTCTCAGCAACTCTATTTGGTTGTCAAATATATACTTTGTATAAAGTCTCTCTCTCACACACACACATATGCACACGCTTGCACACAGACAGCATTCCTTACTTCACATAATATAAACGCTCCTGTTGCAACTGTTCAAGTCTAAAAGCGTGAAGTTATCTGTTTTTATATAGCCCTCAAAACGATATCTAATCCATCAGTGAATATAGTCAATGCTAACTTCAAAATATTCATTAAAATAAGCACTCCCCACCACCTAACTCACTGGTACTACTCCCCTGCTGATGGCTACTGTCTTTTCTCATCCAGATCACAAATGCTTTTCCATTTCTAGATTTGAACAACAGCATTCTCTTTACCACAATGAGGCAGAAGAGACCTGCTAATCTCAATGGAAAAAACTCCATTTACTGGTTTATACAGAACCACAACCACCACCCACCCAATCAGTATTCCCGATTACTATCACTTTTAATACCGCCTCCAAAGCATTTACTTTTTTATATATCAAGGTCTGTCTTTCCCCATTAGAAAGTATGTTCCTCAACAGTGGAAAATTTGTTCATCATTGTATTGTTAACACCAAGAACAAGACCTGGAAGACAGCAGGTGCTCAATAAATGTCTGTTGGATACATATGGCTGTTTGTTTTTATGTCTGTATGAACCTCCAGACTAAGGGAGAAAGGAGGAAACACATAAATGATTATGTCCTCTTTATTTAATTCAGAGGCATTTAAGCTAGTCCAGTTATAAACACATTTAATTTGGGGGGTTCTCGTACATCCACATGATCATGCACATGGGGCAGCTGGAAGTATAAAGTGAAGAGAAATCTGAAATGGTTCTACTAGTTATTCTATTAATGTTAGAGGGATTCCAGGCACCAGAAAAAACAAAAAAACAAAAAAACATGTCTCGTTTCCAGTATTTAAGCCTTTCCTTTGTTATACTGGTTAAAATATTCAGATGCAGGCTACTAAGAAGTACATTAGTGCACTTGTTTTCCATATCTTGACCAAACGGTGACTTTCCACAATTTAGAAGATACATACATTTCATTTTCTTTTTTGCCCAAGAAAGCAGCAGATTCTTTTTTAAAATCAGTTTGTTTCTCAACACCAGTATCCTTTCACATGCTGAAATATTTTCAAGTATACCTAAAGAAAAAAGTCAAAGAAACCAGCAACCTTAAATTTTAAATATGTACTGAACATCTCAGATGCCACACTGCACACTGAACACATTCTGCAACACTTTCCTACATGGATCTCAGAATAGTTCTACTGCTGCTATGACGACTCACATCATCATTAGGAGAAAAGCATTGCGAGAGGTAAGTAAAGTAACAGATCTGATAAAAGAATTAAGATCATCAGACTTTGACTCCAATATTCTCATAAGTTATGAAATATGGCAGTTGTTACATTTAAAAAAAGTTACTAATCTTGACTACTTCAACTTCCAAATCGGAGACTTCATTTAAACAATTCTGCCTTTTCATACAAATGATAAATTAGACTCTTACTGAGTCTAATGCATCAGTCTACCCAGACTGCAAGGAAATTATGTTTTTTTTCCTCTCTTCTCTGCTTCCATATAGTCAAAGGATGGTTGAGGGGAAATGAGCAGAATATAGACAGAGGGATGAGAAGCAGCAGAGTTTTCTAGGAGGAAACAATAGGATTCAAAAGAAATCAAGGTAAAAATAAGCTTGTATTCATATGAAACCAGACAGTCTATTACCCAAATTCAATAATTTGGGTATAATCTTTCCTACTGAAAAATAATGAAAAGTGATTTAAAAAAAAAAACAGCAAGAAAATGGATTATTTCAAATCATTGAATATGTTTATGCAAAGGTCACTGATAAAGCAGGATTTACATGTTGTTAACATGACAAATGCATTAAAGAAGACTATGAATAAGGGAGTATATTTAGTAAGAATCAAGTTTTTACAAAAAGTCCTATTTCCATTATCCATGCTGATGATATCACTGTGAGATACCAGCAAAGAGAGAGTGCAGGTTCCTATAAGTGCAACAGGGTGGTCCCCAGGAAAGGGGGAGGTTCCCTGCGCCACCCAAGGGAGGGTGGAGCTGAGCAGCAAGAGGAGAAGCAGCAGAAGAGACTGAGGAAGGAAGGAAGCAGGATGGAGCCAGGAGACCTGGAGGAGGCGCGTGGAGCCTAGAGACACGTGAAGAAACTGTGCTTGTCTTTTGGTCGTGGACTGGGTGACACAGATGTGGGTGAGACCGTGGGGAGGTGACAATGGCAGCTTTTATCTGGATGTTGATTTTGCTCTTTTCCTTCCGGGCTTGTCCGGTTGTTTGTGACCCTTTTCTGTGGGTCCCCACTGGAAGATGCTTTAGACTTGTGGCAGGCTTTGGGGCCTTGTTCTGGGCCAATCCCATATGGATGGACTTTTACCCACGAGGGGATGGGTAACTTTGGGTGCTTCATTTAGAAACTAGACTCTTTGCCTTACCTGTGTTGTTTCCTAGTTTAATTAAAGTTCCTTC